TATGGTTAAGTGCTTTGATCACAAATAGATTATATTATTTAAAAGAATGATCACTAAATAGCTCACTATATATTTATCTCTGTGTAGCTGTTTTTGTTGGCAAAACTGGATCACTGGCTAGACAGAGACACAGCTACCGCTAGCTGCCAGTGAAAGAGTGTGAGAGAGAGAGAGAGAGAGAAGAAAGGGCCAAGACATAGAGAAGAAAGAGCCCAAGTCACGGTCACGTTTCTTGTCACGTTCTCCCGCTGTTGTTACTGTTGTTACTCCCGCTCTGCACCTCCTCTTCTGTGACTCTCTTCTCCTGCTTTGGCTTGTACCCGCTAATTCCAGCAATTAGGGTATTCCACTTCTCTGATCCGCCGGCTAATTGATTCTCCATTGAGAAGGTGCCATGAAAACCTGATTTGTTTTTACCGACTTTTGAGTAACTAATGTCTTTCCAGGGGATTATAATTACTTAAATAAAATAAATAAATATCTTAAAAAGCATTTGGCAAGTAAGAAAGCTTCAAATGCTGGGCACTTGGGTAGTCGATAAGCCCCAATATCTGTTCTTATTTGTTGGCTTGTTATTTTCATTGTTTAGCCATGTCTTTGAGCCTCTCTTGCCCCCTTGCCAATTTGCTTTCTGCTTTGTGCTTTTTGCTTTTTCGCCTCGTGTACTGATCTAGTCGTGGCTACAAATTGCGCCCGAGTTCCAAGACCAAGACCGAGCTGTCTGCTGTTTGTAGGCTCTTTTATTTATATTTGTATACCCTTACTTTTAGTCAGAGGCTTGCTAATCAATGAATAAGATATTTTTGACCCTATAAATCATATATATTCTTGATCAACATCAACAGCCGAGTTGATCTAGCTATGTCTGCTGGGATTTTTTTTTTTTTTAATTTTTTACAAAATTTTATAAGGGGTTACACCGTCAAAAATGTCAAAAATTGTGGGAAAAAAATTTAATATTTTAAAATGTTAAATTAAGAATGCAGGTTTGTTAAACAAATTAAAACTAGCATAAGTTATGATATTTTGAAACTTTGTTTTGTGCTAATAATTTTCTAACATTTTATTAAGGGGCTACATCCTTTAAATTATACAAAAAATGTATACAAATTTAGATTTCTTAAATTTTGTATGCAGCTTTATTTATCTATTAAAAAGTAACTCTGAACAGGATTCCAAACTAAAATTAATGCATTTTTGACTAGTTATGACCGATTTTCGATTGGGTACCCTTAACCTATTGCAAAGTTCAAGGGTATACAAGCTTCGGGTAACCAAAGTAAGATTTCTTTCTTGTTATTTTATTTTCTAAGCTGATCTTAGGTATGCCTCGCTGCTGGCTTGCTTTTGGGCTTTCATGCTTGTTTGCTTGTTGCCTGCTTTTCGCTGTTTTCTGCTGCTGCTGCTCGTGGCGTTTGACCCCGCCTGCAAATGAGTTCAGACTTGGACATGCCGCATGCCGCACATTTCCATTTCCATTTGCATTTCCCCCTTGGTAGGAGGACAGCAAGAAAAAAATAAGAAAAACGCGCGCCAAAAGTGACAGCCGGCCGAGGAGCAGCTGTCAACTTGACTTTAGGCAGCTGCCGCCAAGTGTTGCTCTGCTCCCGGCAATGTTGCAGTCGCCGCTGTCATTGCACTTGGACGCCGCCACAGCCACGCCAGCAACAAGTAGCGCTCTCGCCACCAACTACCAACAACAAAACACCAAACGGAAGTTTCCCATATTACCAGCTTGTTTTATTTTTTTGGTATATTGTCGCCAGAAAAAGGGGTATTCATTATTTTGGAATCGAGTTGGTAACGCAATTCATTACACAAGGTGGAGTGTGTGAGTGTCAGAAAGTAACAAGTTATTTAATGATTTTTTAATGAACTCTGAAAAGAATACCCGAAACAAGAGGGGAAGTGGCTTAAAGAGTACCAACATTGGTTTATAGTAATATATAGTTGTTATAGATTTTATAATAAAACCATTTACAGATTTGAATAGATAAAGAAATATAATAAGTATAATACTAAAACCCCCAAAAACATAGAAATTAAATATAAGCCACAAATTTATATTGCTGAAATAAGAAATTGCCTCAAATTGAACTTATTCCATTTTTAAATATTTTTAACTTTGTCTTAAAGAAAGAGTATTGAACTTCTCTTGATTTACTTTGAATTTTTATCTCATCTTTTTTTATGCCAGAAAAAGGGTATAAAAACTTTTGTGCTTCAGCAGGAAATCTCTCCTTTTTTTAATTAAACGATGAACCCTTAGGATCGCATTACGTTTAATGGAAAGTAATTTGATATAAAAACAGGAAAGGAAGCTGATTCGGAACGCCGAAGCTTGTAAATTATAGTGATTTTTATATTCATTATTTATTATAATTTTTTTTTTTATTATTTATTGAAAGAAATGCAGACATTTTATTGATATATGTTTTTCATATATACATTTATTTTATTAAGCATTGCAAACCTCCAAATAAAATTCCCTGCCAAAAAGGTAAATTTTTGGTTGAAAAACAGCAATTTATGGGCTTCTTTTAACACATTTAAAGTATTGAATTACCTTTTTAGCAAGGGAGTGAGCCTTTTTGTCAAAAGGTTGTAATTAATTATCTTCTTTCCCAAACAAAAGACTTGAAATTGGTTTTAACTGAAGCTCAGGGTATACCTCGCTTCGATTTCCCCCGCGCAATTTGACAGCCGGTTTTCTCTCCGCTTATTTTTGTGTTGAAGCAAGTGAAAACGACGTCGTTAAACGCACATTTTTTGATTCGATTCGTTGTCGTTTGGGTGGCTGGCTAGATGGGCCCAAACAATTGAGTGAAAATCTGCATCGAATCGATGGGCCACGGCCACGGTGACTGCAGGCACTGTGACACGAGCTGCGACACTGAATTTTTGTAGACAAAATGGACAATACATGAAAAATGAAAAAGCCGCAATCGCTCAGTGCATGGAGAGCACCTTGCGCTGGCTGAATGACTGAAATCACTAAAATGACTGGAATGGCACTTTCTAATGCGACAACGATGCGGAAGCCAGCTGACGACGGCATCAAGCTCGTGCAGCGGCAACATCATCAGCAACACCTGCAACATCGCCAGTCCGAGAGCACCCACGGGAAAGAGTCACAGACCCCGGACCCCAAAAGCCCCCACAAGTCAGCTCGCTGACCCGAAAAATCTGCTTCCTAAGCAACCCCTGGGTCTCGGCCTCTTCCTGTTTGTGTGGGATGTAGAGACGACTCCCCTTGAGTGTTGTGACTGCAGGGGAAGTATTTAGCCGTCAAAGGGATGCTGATTGCTATGAGAAAGTCCAGTAAAAGAATGCAGATGCAATCTTTGGGTGTGTAAGTTTCTATTTTCTTTTGCAGTTTGTTTTAAGATTGTTGGATAAAGGTTGTGGGGAAACAAGTTGTTGTGGAAATTCTATGCCCTACTTATCTCTTTTCGCAGAAAAATTAAATTGAATTTATAATATTTTTGTATTATTTTATTTTACACCAAAGGCAACAGAAAGCCAATTAACCCTGAACCTATTATAACAGTTTATAACAGATTCTCTCTCGGTGGTCTCGTCTGCTTTCCTTTTGGCTTTTAAACGAAACGGATAAGCGTACAATTTGTTATCCGGTTTTCCGGAAATTGGAAAGACAATAGGTTGTTGTAAAAATGTTGTTGTAAAAATGTTGTTGTAAAAATGTTGTTGTAAATATTTTATTTTTGTAATTATGAAAAAGGCCGCAATTAAGGCATTTAGCTGTACATATTCTTCAACTGCAAGTATTTTTACACTAGGCGCCTGAGAAGGCAACAGAATACTTGTATATATAACAGTTTATAACAGATGTTATCCTAATAAGCTAGAAGAATCTAGAAATTTGTATTAAATTGAGTGTTATTTATGAACATAACTATTTATTATATATTTTCACAGTTTATAATGACAATATTGAACCACATTCGTGTACCCCTTTTACAAGGAATTGGACCATAAAAAATACACCCAGATTGACAAATACTGGTATTTGAACATCTAATTATTTTCCATAGAAAAGAACTATGCAAATATGAACCATAATAATAGGGTTATAATTGGGCGTAGGCTCTCGCTTGCCTGCCGACGTCCATGAAAGTACTTTTATTTACCTTCAAATATGTACATTCCGGGGCAATGGGAATTGCCATTTTGTTTTTTCTTTGACTATAAAAGCGTGAAACAAAAAACGTATATATAGGTACAATAAGCCTAGAGTGTGACAGCTAAAGCTTGTTAATTAGCCGGCAAATGCGGCAAATTTATGCAACAATGTGATGCGGCACGCAAAAAAGAGTGAAAAATGTATTAAAAACTAAAACAAAATCGCACAGAAAGTGAGACTGTTAGCAGCACTTTTACTCTCGAACGTGTGTTTAGCTTTAGTTTAGCATTTTCAGAGCCACAATTGAGACCCACAAAGCAGCCAGCGAACCGAACAGAGGAACCCCCAACCCCAGGCCGATGTCACGCACAATAATCGGCTTTGGTTACGCTTGGACCACTCTGGGCCATTCCGCGTCACTTCATCACTTCCACTTGCACACTCCCGATCCCGCGACGTGTGTGGCTTGAGTCCACGATCGAAGCCAATTGGATTATGCAAACGCCGGATCTTGTCTCCTCCGATTTCGCTCAGAGATGCGGGTGTATCCGCAGCTGCAACTGCATCATGCAACTCATTCGATCCGATACGATCCGAGGCGTATCGAAAGTGAATGGCCCTCGTCGTGTTTATGTCGGTGGTTTCTTCTGTGGCATATCCGATTACACGCACGCAGAGCTTAGAAGTTGGAAGCCGAAGCTGCTCCGCGATCACTTCCTGCGTCTTTGGTTACAGTGAATGCACTCCCTTAAGCTCAGCGAACTCTGAACTCTGAGGTTATAGCCTCAGACTTAAGACTTTGACTTTTGCAAATAAGTAAATTTATTTAATTTTTTTTTTTTTTTTTTGCCTGCAGAAAATCGATCCCCTGACACGCATCCAGGAGGAGATCAAGGAAGTGGTACGGCGTGAGGAGGAGTACCGTCAGCTGGCCACACTCTCCTCAACGACCATCACTTCTTCCTCCACCGCCACCGAAGGGGTGGTGGAGTTTGAGGCCTACACGATCAATGGCAATGGCAAGGACTTTAATCAGGAACAGCAGCAGCAGCAGGCACATGACCAGGATGAGCTGGATCACGATCAGGGCGTGCTGGTCACAGCCCAGCCGGCGACCACTTCGCTCCTGCTGCCCATTGACGAGCTGTCCAACACACCCTCGCTGGCCTCCAGCGTGAACAGCGCCAAGGAGGAGAGCCTCGATGGTCAGCACTCGGACGACTCTGGCATATCGGCCTCCTCGCAGAGCAACAACATCAACAACAACCTCCAGGCCAAGCAGCAGCAGCAGCCGCTCAAGCTGACAGTGGTTACCCGCCAGGAGCAGCGCTACATTGGACCCAACTGCTACAACATGACACCGGAACCGCCGCAGCAGAAGCTCATCACAAGGACCATTTCCACGCCGCAGCTGAGCGGCCTGCCCCAGAAGCGTCAGTTTGCCTTCGGCGGTGCCGCTACCAAGGGCGTGATGCAGCGTTTCATAGCCTCGCATGGCAAGCTGGTGACACCCAGCAGTCCCCTGCCGCCAGCCTCGCCATTGGGCGTCAGCAATGGCAACAGTTCCGGGGTCATCCAGAATGGAAGCCAAAACAGCAGCAGCGGCGGCGGCGCCGCTGGCAACAATAACAACAACACCCTCAAGCTGAACACACGCACGGCGCTGGCCTTCCTGGAGAATGGCAACTCGACCACGGTCACCCTGTCGCCGGCGGCCATCGAGCGGGACTCGGAGGGCAGGCCGCTGCGTCGAGGCTATGTGCCAGTCGAGCAGAAAATCCAGCGGGAGCTGCAGGACCTCAAGTCGCGCGAAACGGAGCTGAAGCGCCTGCGCAAGATCAACAGGCAGAACACACTGAAGGCGTCGCTGGACAAGCTGTGAGTACACCTCCTTCAGCAGTAACCTTTATCTTGAAATAAATTGTTTTTAAAATCTTGGAACTCTGATTTGTTATCATCTTATGTTTTTTTTTTGATTCCAGTAACCTCAGCACAGACGACGAGGCCGATGCGGACGACGATGACGATGAGGACTCCGAGGTGGAGCACTGCTATGGACCCGGAAAACTGCGCAATGCCCAGTCTACCCAGGAGCTAGATAGAAATGGGTAAGTGTTGGGAGTAGACCACTTTCAAAAGATTAGTTCTTATTAGAAGTTCATTCTCACTTTCATAGCAACGAACCGGAGATTGTGCACAAGCCTGCTGCCAATCGCAGCCTGAATGCGGCCGCCTACATAGCCAATGGAGCCAGCAATGGCAGCATCAACGGAATGCGTCCGGCCATGTCGCTGGCCCAACTCTGTGATCTGACGCCCGAGGAGGCGCCCTCGTCGCGTGGCCTCATTGCCCAGTGGGAGAGCCTGATCAAAAAGAATGCCGAGAATGGGACGGTGATTGAGGCGGTCATCTAAGAGGACGATCGATGAAGGGTAGCAGAGAGTCCCCTTTTTCCGAAAAATATAAACAAAAACACACCAATACACCAACGATTCTGGTGCAGAGCAGACCAAATTATTATTGTAGTGTCCAAACTTGATACCAATCCTAAGCCCGATCCCCGTTTCCCTGTTCCCGATCCCCTCCTCTACACAAAGCGAAAGCTGCTTATCAACGAATTAATCTTAACGCCTGAAAAACTTGAAATTAAAACACGAAACTGAAAGGGAATTGCAGCCTGTTGCTGTACTTAATGCGATTTATGTGTAATTTATAAAGTGTAGTACGTTCGAGAACTCTGTTGTATATATATGTGACTCTTCTTCGTGTTTCCAGTGCGAGTGCAGTCCTGACTTGCTTATAATTTATTACAAATCAACTTTATACCTTATATATATATATATCTTACATAAATATACGAGCCCGATATGCGAAACATGATTTAATTAAATAAAAAAAAAACCCAAAACGAAATTTAAACAAGCATTTGTAATACTTACTTGCCATTATATTGAATAATGTTCTCGCTGAAACCCATAAACAGCTGACCTGCTGAATAAAACATCGATCCTGGGAAGAGGAGAGCGACAAAGAGGGGTTCTGAATGGCGGCGGCCATTTTGAAAAGGGTAGCCATTACTAACGGTTTCCTGGAAAGGTGTCCGTTAGTTTTGGCTTAAAGCGGATCAGGCGACTGGGAACTGTTATAAACTGTTATAAAAAACATGAACTACGAAAAACGTTCAGAAAGACTGATTAGGCTTGATCTTTAATACTCTAGAAAAAGCTTAAATTAACAAATACTCGATCGTTTTTTTTTTTTTTAATTTTTTTATATTTATTTTATTAAATACATTTCGTTTGTGGTTGTTTTTTCCCTTACGGTTTCTGTTTTTTGTTAATTTTTCTCTGTTGCTCTGTTTGCTGCTCGTGTTAAATTACGTATTCGTTCTGTACTAATTGAATTAATCAGATATTAGGGTGCCGTAGAAAGAGAGAGAGCGAGCGTCTCTAGTTTGGAATACAAGGTTTTCGGTTAGAGTAAGCCCACAGATCCAAGTACATTTTATACACACAAAAACAAAGGGAAATGAAATGTAAAAATAATAGGAAAACAAAGAGAATAACGAAAGCGATCATCAGTACTCAGATAGATCGATCGAGTGCTGGGATTATCATGGAGTTTTCCTTTGTTGGTTCTTTACTGCTACGGAAGCCTCGTAATACATATTGCTATTTATGTATGTGTAGGTCGTATATGTATGTATGTATGTGGTTGCTGTCTCCTATGCAAAGTTGAAATCTTAGGTTTAGAGAGTTGTGTGTGTTTTGTTTGCAAAGGAAATCAATCATATATATACTCTATATATCCTGCGTTTATATATTTACAAAAAGTCTGCACTCGCTTTGCTATATACGAACAAATCGGGACTGGAACTTTGAGTTAAATCAGGGATAAACCTATAACCTAATACAATAATATATATTGCACTGCGATTGCGTGGCATTAGAAATTAGGCAACAATCCAACATATATCCAAAAAAATAGATATAAAAGATATTCTGATGATATTCACATACATAATATATAATAATGACTAGGATAATACTTTGGCACACACACAGATATACATATACATATACGTACATATATACATATACATATATATGCGAAAGGAAGGAAAGAAAAGTTGCTGGTTGTATTGCTCGGCGGTACAAAGGTGGAACACAAGGACAACTCTTCCGGAAACAATAATAATAATTAATAGTTAATTAGCATTCTGCACTTGCTGCTCTTTTCGGAACTGGAACCAAAAAACCATTGACTGCTCTTTTTTCTTGTAATATCGTGTATATATATATAAATGTATATATAGAAATATATAAATAGTAAGTTTTAGCATCCATAATACATATATATATATATACATATATATATTTAGTTTGCCGCCTGCTCCTCCTCCCACCCCCCTACCTCAATTAGAAACTAACACTTAAACCGACTGTTCATATGCGTTGCTATATCCTTCCTCCATCCAGCATTCGATCCTTATGGATCCTTTAACCAAAAGCGCTTTGAGCGTCCTACACATCGCGTATGTACCTCCATATCTCTTCTATTCCTTCGTGACCTAACAGCTAAGACAAAAAAATGGCATCGCTCTTCTCTTCCGCTTGCTAAAGTTAGTTCTCGTTTTATATATAATCGATATACATATTTTGGATTTTTTCTTTTTCTTCTTATTTTCTTCATTTTCTTTGTTTTTTTGGTTAACATAAAATTAATCAACAAATTTTTAGAGTTGCTTGCTAAAACTTTTCTTCTTAGTGTGTAAAGCGATGACTATGACTGCCATGAACTAAGTGCTACCTCGCCTGCATCCTGGCGGAAGTGTAACTTGTGTGTGTGTGTTTGTGTGTGTGCTATGGAAAGTTGCAGAAATCCTTAAGTGAGTGTCATGTGATTGCATCTCTACTACTGTTCCAAGTTCGGTGTAAAACACATCTAAAAAATGCCTCTCAGCCATATATCCCCCCGTGTCCTTTTTTCGGTTGTCTATTTATAGATAGATCTTGTATATATATCATCATGCCTGCTTGTATATATGTATGCCTTGTATATAAATATCGCTTTTGTTTTTTACTCTTGGTATTGTCTGAATGTGCTACGTACTTTAAACGCTAAACTAGTTCGTGTGTCCTGTTGGGTGTACTTTCTTCTTGTTGCTTACAAAAAAAAAAAAAAAATAAACCAAATAAATATTATTAATACCACAAAAAAAAGGACAAAAAACAAAAAAAAAATATATGAAAAAATTGCAATTTTACAAACTATTTTATGTTATGTTTATGTATCTCTCGCGTATAATAACTAGTGCATTACATTGTTCACATAGGTTCCTAGGTTCCTCTACACGCTATTAATATGTTATTCTGTTTGGTTCCATCATCCCCACATAACCCTAAGCATACCCTAATGATCCTGATCCTGCCTAGAGCAGCTGGACAATAACCGGCTCGATCAGACACATGTGCTCGGCACCACGTACTGGCAGCCGGTTGAGGCAAAAGTGCCGAATCATCTCCGGCACTGTCTCGAAGGGACGACTGAACTGGCCCAGGATATACTGTCCGGTCTCGTTGCGTTGGATACGCATGTGCATGAAGCCCTTGGCGCCCCTGTTGGGAGAAGAGTTTAGAATTACCAGGGAATCTCTTTCTATATATATATAAAAAAAAAGAGATGAACCTACTTGAGTGATAGGGAGTAGTCCTGTTTGGTGGACTCGCAGTTGCGTACCAGGAACGAACCCTCGGCCAGGGGACGCAGAGTGGTCTCCGCCTCGATCCTGGTTATGGCGCCGTGGTACCAACTAAAGAGAGAGGAATTATTAAGGATTTATATCTAAAGCTTCCTTTCCTCTCCCTCTTCATCATTCATCCCAGAAACTTACCCCTGCCGCTCCAGCGGTATGCTAACATCAATCAGATCCACGGCCGTCACATAGCCCTGGCTCAGGTTCATGTTCAGCTCCTTGGTGCTGCTGAGACCCCGCAGATCCAGGCTGCCAAACTGCTTGGTGGCCTGCCGCGACTCGTTCAGGTTGAGGGTGAGATTCTGCCGGAACAAAGCCGTGTCTGCTGGGGGAGATAAATTAAAAACAAACATTAAAAAACAATGAAACTTATCAAAAACTCCCTAGAAAACCTACCCAACTTGCTGGTCATTTTCTGGTCATCCCGCATCGAGTGACTGGAGGAGGCCTGCGAGATGCCACTGGACTCGGTGCTGTGCATCAGCAGATTGTTGATCTCCGCCTGATTTGCTCTGAGGCGTCGCCGCAGCTTGGGCATGTCAAAGGGTAGCTCGCCAAGATCCACGGAAGTGGCACTGCCCGATGTGCAGGCCGCCTCCTGTTGCAGCGTCTTGCGGCGTCTCAGTTTGGGCATGTCGAAGGGCAGGTCGCGCAGATCCTGGGGAAGGCCAGTTACACCGCCGGTAGCTCCAGATCCAGTACCACTACCCGCTGCTCCACCTGCTCCCGTAGAACCCGTAGAACCCACAGCTCCCCCAACTCCCCCAGCGCCTCCAGAGACAGTGGTGCCCTCTGTCCCGATCAGCTGGAGCTTGGGCAGCGTCAGCCGCTGGAGGGCCAAGGCCTGCGGCTTGCCCTCCTCCCGGGAATGCAGCGAGATGCCACTGTCAGAGCCGAGGAGCTCGTCGGCCAGCTGGAGCAGCGCCTTGTTCGGAGCTCCACGGCTACGCTGCTGCTTCATGGACGTGGACACCTGCTGGCTGCCAATTAAATCCTCCTCCGGCGCCGCCACGGGCGCCTGCTGCTGCTGCTGCTGGGACGGCTGTTGTGACTGCTCGGAAGCACTGGCCGAGGCCGGCTCCTGCGACGACTTGTCGGAGATGGGGCTGAGGATGTGCAGCTTGGAGTGCAGCAGCAGGGGCGCCGGCCTCAAGGGATAGGCCACGCTGGAGCCGCCGCTGCCACCGCTGCCGCTCTCCGAGCTGTGCGAGCTGAGCGAGCTGGAGTGGCGCGACTCGGAGCTGGAGGTGCTGCGGTTGCCCTCGCTGGTGCTGGAGCGCAGCGACTCCATGCTGCCGCCGCTGCTGGACGTGGCTATGCTCTCCGTGCTGCTGTAGTTGTGTTGCTGCTGCTGTTGCTGGCCCGTCGTTTGGCCCTGTCCATGTCCATGACCATGGCGACTCCTTCGACTGGCAGCTCCACTGCCTGCACCTGCGCCACTGGCTCCACCGGCATGATGATGGTGATGGTGATGATGATGCTGCCGCTGCCCGGACGTCTGGCCGCCGGGCTGATGATGATGATGACCTCCTCCGCTGGTGCCGCCACTGCGTCGCAGCTCGAGAACCCGGCCGGATTCCAGCACAAAGGAGCGTGGCCGTCGGGCAGCTCCCGGGACTCCTCCTCCTCCTCCTCCTCCAGCCGCGGATGCCGAAGCGGAGGCGGAAACGGAAGCAGAGGCCGAAACGGAGGCAGCATTCGAGTTGGAATTGGTCGAGGGCGGATTCACGTAGGCGCTGTCGGTGAGGCTGTTATCGTTGCTGCTGCCCGTGCAGAGCTGCTGCTGCTGTTGCCGCATGGACTGAATGGGCAGGCGCAAGTCCCGGAGACGGGGATGCGCCGGATTGGCTGACGGCAGATTGGGGGCACTCCGAATGCTGTTCATGTTCAGGTAGCGTTCGTGCTTGCCGGGAAACTTCATTGGCAGCGGGGCCGTCGACGGGGGCGATGGGGTATAGCCGCGCACCGGCAACTGCTGGGTGCTTGTGGCACTTACTCCTCCTCCTCCACCTCCGCCTCCGCTTCCAGCGGGCTCTGTTGCTCCACCTCCGCTGGTGCCTCTATTTTGGTTTTGATTCTGCTGGTCCACCTGGCTGAGCTGCAGCTTACCCAGCTCAACCTGGACCTGGTGCACCTGGACATGGGCCTCGCCCGTCTGCTCTTGGAGCGCCTGGTTCTTGCTGTTCTTGGCCCGCTTGCACTCGTTGCGGGCCGACTTGGCCGACTTACTTGTGGTGGGTACGGCGATGGCATCGCCATTGCCATTGCTCAGCTGCAGCAGCACCGAATGATTGGTGATGCGGTCCACCTCGTCCAGATCGTCATCCGACTTGGCTATCTTGCAATCGAAGGCGGTCTCGTATATCTGCCGCCGCCGGCTGCCCATGATGTCCTCGGAGTCGTCGTCGTCCTCCTCAGAATCGTCGTCGTCGTCGTCGTCCCCCTCCTCCTCTTCGTCGTCGCCGTAGAGATCGAGCGTGTTCACAGACTGCGATGGTATGCTCAGCGATGGAGCGGAAGCCGAGGCTGGGGCGGAAGCATTAGCGGTTGCTGCTGGTGGCGCTGGTGGCTGGGCGCACTCGGCACACTCGTGAACGCCATGCGGATGCACATAGAAGATGCTGCGCGGCCGGAAGTACTCCTCCTCCAGCTCATCGCCGGGCTCGGGCCCCCGGCCGCCGGAGGCGGAGGCGTTGGCCTTGGATAAAGCGGAGGCGGATGTTATGCACGCTCCGCACACGGCTGCTGGTCCCAGTCCCAGCAGGCGGTGCGGTGGCATCGGCTGGACACTGGCCTCAGCTCCCAGCGGTAGTGGTAGCGAAGCTAATGACTGCTGTGTGGCTGCTGCTGCTGCTACTGCTGGTGGTGGGGGGCAGCACTTGAGCAGCTCGCCCTCGCCGGAGTCGCAATGCTGTAGCTGGAGCTGAAGCTCGCTGCCAGTGGTGGGATTCGGATTCTGCTGATTCCGCGGCTGGACGTTACAAGTCTTTCGGACTAAGGCCAAGGCCCGGGCGTGCCACTCGCGTCGCTTGAGGCACTCGCTACAGTCGGACTCCTCGGAGGTGCTAGTGCTGGGCGTCTCGCAGCGAATGATGTGGACACCCTCCTCGGTGAAGCTGTAACGTTTGGGCGTTGACTGCGAGTCGGGACGGGGCTCGGGATCCTGTTCCTCGAGATCCTCAGTTAGCTCAAGCTCGGTATGATGATGATGATGATGCTCCTCCTCTCCTTGACTATCCTGTTGTGGGTGCTGCTGCTCCTCGGCCTGGGGCACATCCAAGCTGGAGCTCTTGCGATAGCCAACCGTCTGCTGGTGCTGCTGTTGGGGTGGCTCACTGGCCGTTGACTGGCGGCACTTGAGCTTGATCTCCTCCCTGTCCTTGTCCCGCTCCTTGTCCTTGTCGCGGCTCTTTAGGAGATCGGAGTAGTAGTAGGGCGACGGTTGGCGCTTGCTGTGCTCGGCGGGGGCAACGGTCAGTTTGCGTGGACTTCGCTGCAGTTGCGGGGGCAGGGGACGCACCAGGTCATCGGATATGGAATCTGGTGAATTGAGACCGTGTCCAGCCTGTGGTGCCTGTGCAGCGGCCGCGTTGGGCGGTAGTGGTAATGGCGGCTGCTGCTCAACCTCCTCGTCTATGTCCGCCTCGTCGTCGGAGGACTTGGGCGCCGAGGAATCTGTGGGTGGGAGAGGGAGGTGGTGAGATATTGATTACTAGGGGTTACTTTTGGTGGTAAATGCATCATGGTCTTTCTCCTAGGTTTCTTCTAGGTTTTTCCTAGGTTTCTTCTAGTTTTCGTGTACTTTCTTCTACTCCTTCTGCTCCTCCTTCTGTTCTTCCTTTTGCTCCTCCCTCTTCTGATCCTCATTCTGCTTCTCCTTCTGTTCTTCCTTCTGCTCCTCATTCTGCTCCTCTTACTGCTCCTTCTTCTCCTCCGTCTGCTCCTCCTTCTGCTCCTCCTTCTGCTTCTCCTTCTGCTCCTCCTTCTTCTGCTCCTTCCTCTGCTCCTCCTACTGCTCCCATCTTCTGTTCCTTCTTCTGCTCTTTCTTCTTCTACTTTTCTTTATGCTCCTTCTCTGCTTCTGCTTCTGCTCCACTCCTTCTATTCCCCTTTATTCTCTTACTGCTCCTCCTATCGCTCCTCCTTCTCCTCTCGCTACTATTCCTCTAACTATTCCTCCTACTATTCCGCTTCCCTGTGCTTTTCCTTCTGCTCCTGCTCCTCCCATTCACCAAGACGCTGACGGCGCTGACAGTTTCTAATTAAGTCGCAGCGACGACACTGCGGCGCCTCGGGGCTCCGCAATTGAAACGCAAATGGAGTTGACGCAGTCTATTTGGCGCTTGGCTGGCCGCCGTCTTCTGCTCCTGCTCCTCATGCTTCTGCTACTGCAGCCACCTCCAAGACTGTGGCTTGATGTTCCTCCTGCTCCTCCTCCTCCTCTTCCTCCTGCCATGACCACTGCATTTTTCCTCTGGCAGCCCTAATCAGAGTGTCTGGCATTTTCCCCATTTCACGCTTGGTTAGCAAAGAAAAGTTGTGCCGTGATTTGGAGAGCCTGGAGCCTAGCCTAATTGCTAACCACACCGATTCCCCTCCTTGGAACAGGCTAGGTCACTCAGACCTCGAGTTAATTTGATTGCCAAGAGAAATAATTCAACATTTTGTTAATTAATTAATTAATTACCTGAATTATATTGACTATTGCGTTTATCCTTTCGCAATTTGCCGTTGTTGTTGTTGTAGGTGGAGTGCCTCTGCTGCAACTGCAACTGCTGCTGCTGCTGCTGCTGTCCCGCACTCCTGGGCGTTGGCAAAGTCTGTTGCTGCGGCAGCGCCTGTTGCAAGTGCTGCTGCTGTTGCTGATGCCGCTTGTGACCCGGCTGGCTGCGTCTCTTGGCCTTCTTGTGGTAGACCTTCTTGTGGCTGCGCGTGTCCTTGGGATCCGAGTATCCTTCGATTAGCTTCACCGAAGCCTGCTTGATGTTGCTATTGGGCAGCGGCGGATGTTGCAGAGTTGCCCGCTGCTGCAGGTGCTGCTGTTGCTGTTGTTGCTGTTGCTGTTGCTGTAACAGCTGCTGTTGTGCCCCGCCCACTGGCAAGGTGTTGTTGTTGTTCTGATTGTGCGCGTTGGGCTGCGTATGCGTTATGCCGCAGCTGTTGTTGTTGTTGTTTAATGTTGCTGCTGCTGTTGCAGTTACTGCTGCTGCGGGGGGAGGCGCTGCTGCTGCTCCTGCTGCTGCGGCAATTGAGGTGGCTGCCGCTGAAGCTGCTCCCGCTGCTGCTGCTGCTGCAGTTGGTTGCTGCCCCGCTTGTTGGGCTTCGCCAAATGGTAGCTACAAATAAAAAAAGAAAGTCTAGCATTAGCTTTAGAATTTGTTGTTGCAGCTAATTTGATTTGCTTTGCAATTTGCAATTCGTTTGGAATTTAATTGGAAAAAGAACTCGTTGGCGGTTGTGGGGTTTCCCCTGCTAAGCCGCCTGCCCAAAAAAGTAGGCAATGCTTTTGTGCGTTGCCTGTAAGAAGGGGTTACGCGGGGGCGTATACGCAATCTTTGAAATTTATTTGTTAATTTCACAAAATATAAATCCATAATAAGCAATATATTATACATATTAAATAATAATATAACAAATCCATATAGTTTCCTGGTTTCAAAAACCAAAGCCAAGCAAAGGAAGCCCTAACAGTTGCCTGGAAATTGTTTTACCCTCGATTTGCCAGGACTACACATGAGATCCTGTCCTGGCATCTGTCCCCTGATGGATGGTCTTCAATGCAAACCCCTCTCCGCCACACAATACCCCATGTCAATCACAATATCCGATGACTATCCCACCCTCCTCCATTCCATGTCGGAATTGACAAATAGCTAGACATTACGGAACTGCAACATCGGTGGCACTAACAGGATCCTAATGTGTGCAAATTATGAGGTCCTGCCTCCCATATATATGTATGTATAAGCCCCGGTGTACTGCCCCCATCCGGCTGGCGGGATTCCGCTCCGGGCCATTATGTTAAACATAAATTTCCGTTTACACGGCCCATGTCCACTTCGAGCTTGTATATCTGGATCTGGATATGCTGGGCATGGAACTGGAACTGGAGATGGAGATGGATATGGGTATGGGAATGGGGCTAACGGAAATTGATGTTTGGCCACGGAGACAATTCGGCCGCAGGGTTTCCAGCAAAACATTTTTAATTGAAACTCATAAATTAAGAGCGAAGTGAGTGCAAGGGGGGCAACACCACAGGTTCCTATGCAAAAAGCGTTTTTAACGAATTTGAACTTAGAGAAGGTAGCACTTATCGATACATGTAAATCGGAATATAAATCATCTATGAAAAACATCATGAATTATATAAGACTAAGATGTGGCGAATTTTTGGCTGGAATTCTTCATCATTAGTTACCAAAGACTTGGACTTTGTAATAACAATAACAATTAAAATTAGCAGGTCCCATGTTATCGATATATTAACCTTTTGCTATTACCATTAAAATTATGGGTTAATATCGATTTTTATTGCTAGAATTTGTAATAAAATTAGGCAAATATTATCTTTTATAATATTTTTATAACTTTAAATATATCAAATGATATCGTTATATATCAATAAATATCGAAATTTTCAGTTTGATATTAAAATTTGGAAAAATTCCAAAATGACGATAAATATGTATTAAAATTTCTATTTAAAATACAACCTTCTTAAACATATTAAATGTGATAATTGTGATTTTAAGTAAGTAAATATTTTTACTCTTATGTCTTTTTGATCACTTTATATATTTATATTATCGATATATATCGAAATAAAACATCCCCAAGTGGAGTTCCCATTCCCACATTCACTGCATTCAAAGGGGGCACCCAGGATGTTGTATCCAGGACGTAACCAGGACAGGCATTGATAATGGGGAGGGAGCTTCACATTTTGCTGTTTAAATATTTGCCTTTGATTATCAACAAACGATATAAGCAGACGACGACGACCACGACGCTCATGAATGGCATGTGCTTATAGAGTATAGTATGTCCTCCTCATGCACGATTGCCTTCACAAATCAGGATGCCATGAGGGGGTACGCTGTGTTTCAAGGATAATGAAAACTGTTGGGATTCCTGCAACTCCGCCTGCGTTTGTCTGTTGCTTGTTGCCGCAGCAACGTGATTTTTATGCCAACTTTAATGAAAAAAGAAATCATCGTAATCGACAGAGTGGAGATTTTTAGGGGGGAGAGAGAGAGAGATACCTCTCACCCATGTCTGCCTGTCTGTCTAGCTCACATCCTTGGCATTCCCATTGTCTGACAACGATGGATGACTAACTATAGTCGTAATTCTAATCGTAAAGGATGCTGCACTGAAAAACCTTAATGCCTCTAAAAAAAATTACTACGTAAATCGAGCTTTAAGGGTATAAATTTCCTGATTTTAATAAAGAGAAAAGAATTTAATCGGTCGGTGTGTGGTGGTTCTCTGCTCTCTGAAACACAGACAACGCGACTTATGAGTGATATCTAAGCTGATGCTGTCTCTGCTTTATTTTGTTCGTAGAAAAATAAAGCATAAAAGTTATTGAAATAAACAAAAAGCACACGCACACATGGACGTAAACGTGTGTCCTGGGCCGAGGCCTTTGTTGCTCCTCCTCTGAGTTATCGTTGAATATTACTCCGTGGAGAGTAATAGCAACAACTGTCAAAGCCAAAACGAAATTTTCAACCCCCCAACTCTGGCGCTGCCTTTCCTCTGTTTTTTTTTATTATTTTATATTTTACAAAGCCGTCGCCCACTTCAGAGCCAGACGTTCTACATATCGTGTATATATCAGGATCAGTGCAGCCGGAAAATGTAAATATTTTTATACCAAGAAATGTAAAGAGTTTTCTGAAAAGTGATTTTTACAAAAATTTCTTAAATATTACAGTAAAAACTTATATTTTTAGAAAATTTTATTAGTATTCTTTTAAGTAAATACATTAAAAAAAGGATTTTTTGTAAAAAAATTCTTTTTTTTCGACACATTTTACAAAGTAAATTGAAATCACTTAATACAATGCCCAAAAGTATGCTAGAAAATTGCAAAAATGAAGCAAATTTTTAAAATCAATTTAGAAAATATATATAAAATATTTTAAAAAATAACACATTAACGCATCACTGCTTTAAAATATGTTGCGTTCACTTGTTTCCATTAAAACGTGAGTTGCCACCGAAAAAAAATATATATAAAACAGGAGGAAAAGCGGGTAGAAAACAACACACGCACACATGCGTAAGCTGTTATGGCATCATCACATGGACACAGCCACCCCCCTGGCACCCCCGTGGTATGCGTCAGTGTGATGGCAAACAAAAAGTCATAAGATAAAATTACATTAATAATTGTGAGGGGGGAGGCACACGCACACGCACACGCTCCCATATGCAGGAAAAGCGACAGTGAAAAGCGTACAGGAAAAGGCGCTAAACGTTATCGCTTTTGGCCATTTGCGGTATGAATTTTCCTTCATTTTCCTAACCATTATCTTGGGTACACTGGACACAGAGACAGTAAAAATATCCTTTAAAAAATCAGTTAATAATTAACTACGATCATTGAGGCATGCCAAAAAAAAGTGTAATGTTATTATTAGCTTTGAGGTAATATTTACATAAATTGTTTATGGAGAAACCAATTTGGTTATTCACTCGACACTCTGCCTGGGAATTGAATCCTTGGCACTGATTTTTATCAATCTCCCCAAGGTCCTTGCCGCAAATCGTATTTTATTTGGCATTTTAGGATCTGCTCCTGGCAAATCGCATTCCTTGTCGAGGCTAAACAAATCTCAATAAAATGAATTTCAAGTGGCAGGATGCTCCTGCCTGTGTGTGTGTGTTTTTTATGTGTGCCGCCTGATGCGGCTTTCGTTTTCATTTTTAGTGGCAATATGCAAGGGGAACGAACAACACCAAATATTTCCGTATGGGGGCCATAAAAAAAAAAAAAAGAAAAACAGAAAGAAAAAGAGGACGCCCAGAGCGGACATTTTCCGGTAGGAGGAGGAGGCTCGAGGTTGAGGGTCCTGGAATGTGGCTCAAAGATTATTTGGTTTCGGGGCCGCATTTGATTTGTGGCACGGGGCGCATTTACTGCTGCAGGCCGAGGTTATCTCTGGCTATATCTCTTGACCTCAGAGATGGCATGCAAATAAAACAGAAAAAATTAAATTAAAAAAAGCTAAAGGAAGCCAAAAAATTTAGATTAAAAATATTGGAGAAAATGTGTTTAAGTTTGTTGAATTTTTTTATGGGGAAAAGCTAGAATTTAATAAATTTTAAACTTTCTGCTTCCTGTTTTATTTATAGAAAATAGCAAATAATAAATTAATAATTTTTAAATATTTATAGAAAATATCTAATAATAAATAAATAATTTTTAAATATTTATAGAAATGATCGAAAAATAAATAAATTATTTTTAAATATTTATAGAAAATAACCAATAATAAATAAATAATTTTTAAATATTTATAGAAAATAGCAAATAATAATTAAATAATTGTTAAATATTTATAGAAATTAGCCAATAATAAATAAATACATGTTTATATATTTTAAAAAAATATCCCATTATTTTGGCTATAAAACCGTCAGTTTGGCATCTATTGTTAGCTTGCTTTTTTCGATCTATGGCCATTTTTTATGGTCAGCCACCGCCCGCTGGGCAGTTGGGCTTTGTTTGTTGTTTGTTTGTCGTTGTTTCGTTTATTTTTCGCTTTTTTTTTTGCTTTTTTTTTTTTTTTGCAATATTTAGCCAATAGTCCGTGCATTGTTTGAGCAACGCTTTGTTTGTCCTGCTGCTGCTGCAGGATAAGCCAAAAGAAGCCAAGGGATGGGAACGTGGGCCTCCTTTCGGGCTTTTCATTAACGCACTGCTGATGCGGCTGACGTTGATATGACTTCTCGTCTCACTCTCCCTCTCTCTCTCTCTCTCTTTCTCTGGGCTGTCCTGTCCTTGGGGTCCTTTGGTCCTTGCTTTCAACCAACCCCCCCTCCGAAAATTCCCCGCCTCAATCACTCGATTCGCTGAAGCGTGCAGTTTATCAATTAGCTGTCCGGAGCAGTTAATTGCCTCGAAAGTCAGCCCTACTACCACTCCCTCTCACTCCCCCTATTCCCATCCTGAATCCTCCCCCCACTTGCCCCACTTAACGATGAGGTTTGGGTACTTACAAACTCGGCTTGCGGACTGGGGGCTATCCAGTGCTCAGGATTCGCTGGTATCGCCTCCGCCAGGCACGGATCGAAGCTGGACGGTCGTTTTTTAACAAAGTCTACGGGCAGGCTGTAATCATCACAGATGGCAATCTGAAAAATGAAGAAAAACTACTAAGTTAAGCTTTTCTTTTGCTTAATAAAAGCCTAAAAGTAATATTTTTGTACAAAGATCCCACAAATTGAGACTTGATGTTTATAAATAGATCAATTGCTAGCTTTTTTATAAGCTTAAAATACATTTTTACATGTCTTGCTTACATACCCTTGAACTGAGTATGCAAAAAAAAAAATAAGTAAGCCAAAGTTTGTATACCCTTACATGATCAGAGTCCAAATTTGAAATCTAATATAACTAAGTATTAATTTTAATTCTGTTTAAGTTTTTAATAGTTAAAAGCCTGCATAATTAATTTTAAATATTAAGAAATCAATATTTTGGTAAAGTTTTTGATAATTTTAAGTAATATTTTTTATTAGTTTAATTCTTTTTATTAATTTAATTTCAGTGCGGTAAGCCGATTTATGCTATTTTTAATTAGGTTAATAAATCTGCTTTCTTAATTTAACATTTAAAAATATATATTCTATTTTTTTTCAACATTTTTGACCAGTTTAACGGTTTAACACCTTATAAAATTTTGAAAAAAATAGTGTTCTTCCGAGCATGACTAAAAAGATTCACCTTTAGATGCTGAATATATATACTTTATAGGGTTTATAGGGTTGAAAATAACTTAACTGTTGACTAAAATTATAATACCCTGGCAGGGTATATAAAAAACAGCAGAGAAAAAAAACAATAACGAACGTCACGACGACGACACGTGCATCTCAAGTGTGCCAGGCCGCACTCGCACCCACAAGAAAGCCGCCCCCTAGAAACCCCCCATGAAAACCTCTCTAAGATCCACCTTAAACCCCCCTGAAAACCCCCTTGGAAACCTCCCTCAAACCTCCACCCACTGTCTTTTTTTTGGGCCCAAAGCAGACTCTTGTCTGCGTCATCAAAAGTGTACAACAATGGCTAAATTACAGTTACAATTAAAAATGGCGACGAAGCCGTTCCCAGCTGCTAGAGAATTCGTTTCTTTTGTTTTCCCTAGCACAGGTGCGAGTCCAGATGATGCAAAAATGCACAAAGCATTGTTGCTGCTGCTGTTTTGATACTAAAGGAAAAGTCTTGAGTATTGCAATTAACGTTAAGTGGAGAGAGGAAAAAAAAAGGACGAGATGATGGAAACGAACATCAAGAGGGAGATAGTAAGGCAGCAACAGAGAGAGAGAGAGAGATTAAGGCGGACAACAAATTACCGGCTTAAGAAAAATTATTTTGGTTATTTTACCAGGATATATATACTCTCTGAAATTCCCCACGTTTATTTCACTAATTACAGTACAAAACTAATCGGCTTGGCTTAAAAGCTCTGCCCACACCTTTGTGTTTTTTATTACGAAAGTTTACCTTAAGTAGAGTTCACTTTAGTTTTGAAAATACTATTCATAGAATAGCTAAAGGTGCATGTTATTTGGACTTCACCAATACTGTATAAAATGCCATACTTTACTGGGCATTTATCAGCACTATATTAGTAATAAAATGTAAAATAAAAATGTATAATAAGAGAGCTTTTTATTTAAGATTTACTATAAAACAAACTTTCTCAAGAGTTATATGGTTAACATGGTTTACAGTTATTTTCATGAAAGCATTTACCAAGCATTAACCAACACTGTAATTTAAAGAAAATCCTTAATCAACACTCAACTCTTCAACTTTCCACAACTATTCCCTTACTTGCCGCACCCACCAAACTAATTAAGTTTATGACCTTTAGATTTCATCTTTAATCTCCCCTCAAACAATCTAAGAACCAAACTAAACTTAATGGCATTGCTTCGACTCAAGGTCACACGCGAATAGGGAGAATGCCTTTGCCTTTGCACTTCGGTAGCTACCTGGAAATTCAATTGCAGGCAATAAAGCTGGCGACAAGTGCGACAGCGCCACTCTAAAACGGACTCCCAGGGGATATCGAAGCGGCGGCAGTTACAGCGACAGGAGCAGAAAGCCATCATGGGCGCATCCCTGTTGAAATCAATCCAACAGCGTCGACAGAACATGTTGCTTATAATTTTTACCCTTCCTTCAACCTCTCTAGGAGACGACAACACTTAAGGAAATGACACCAACAAAATATATCCCTAGTCTGGGCAGGGAGCCGGTGCGCGTCTCAGGTGTTGACAACCGAGTGCCACGAACCCAACTGAAATGGTAAAATAATCCAGCTAGTAACGGGCTCGAATGCTGGACAGCAAAACTAAGCTGGATGAAAGGCTAACTATGGCCCACATTTGTGCTCAGATGTTGTCTCATGTCCCGGGGCCAAGATGCCAGCTTGAAAGGCCAACACAGAAGGATGCAGAGAAAATATCTGACCTCCAGGTGTGTTGGGTCTGTCGAAAGTGGAGAACTTGCTTATTGGTTTTATTACTAAAATCTTATAAAAAAAGCTATACTACTAAGAGTTGTTTAACATTACGAAAACCTTTACGGCGGCTATTAAATCACAAAAAAACCTTGAAATCAACTTTAAGCATTTAAAAAATATATATTTTACAACACTAGGACTACAGAAAACGTGATAAATATCACTTTTCAACACTTTGAAATCTTGAAATAATTTCATTTCAATTTTTCAACACAGTCACTGAACTTTAAACCCTAAAATAATGGCTTTCAGTCAGGTTAAGTTGGTAATTTGAAGACCCCCAGTTAAAGTCCTTCTTGGACAAACCTTCAAACCAAATCCCATTTGAAAAGCAACACTATGCCGTAGCCACAGATGTGGCATAGTATCGGATGCCCCAACTAAGTAACCAGCTAGTGAAAGTCGAGTGGAGGATAAACAGCTGCTGGCAGCACTCATTTCCTATGCCAATCCCCCGCCCCCCAAAAATAATCCCTTTCCCTAGCCAAACGATGACTCATTGGCCACCAGACCATCGTCGTGATTGCCACTTTGGCTCACGGCTTTTTGAGCCAAATTGCGGAATGCAAAATGCACATACCCACTAAGGACTAGAAACGAAGTCCTGTACCGCCTCATTGCCTCTGTCGCCGTCTCCGTTTCGGTCTCCGGTCGTGTCCCTGTCTGGTTGAGTAAATATCATAAATTTTAAAGGCGGCATTAATGTTGAGTCTTGCAGGTAGCAGCAGCTTTTGCTCCAAGGTTTGCCAGCAAGTTTGCGGCGTTGGTGGTGTCGCCTTTATATTTTGCGAGTGCGCATAACCGCAGGCACTTTGGCACTGCGCCCGCTTGCAATGTCCTGCTCCTTGCATCTACCCCGCCATATGTTGCCCTTGTCTCCGCTGGCTGCCTAGCCATGCCTTGCCTTTTGTGTGACACATTTTGGCCGGGCAGGAAATGATGATGGCCTGGCCAGCAGGCTCCGGGTCTCGCCTGGCATATTGCGGCGGAGATTGCAATGCCACAAACAGCAAATCTTTGTGCATCCTCGTGGCATATTCTCTGGCCTCTCCTCTATGTTCTTTCTATATATATATTCTCTGTTCTATAACGTGCTGGCTTTGATTTTTATTAAAATGACACCGACAGGTGAGTGAGTGAGTTGGGGGGCTCTTTCAGATATGCAATTCTGATGACCTCGTCGCTTTTATTATTTCTTCTCTCTTGAGGGTTTTCTAAAGAATGTCAGTTGGGTAAATGTTGTCCAGTTTACTTCAGGTAACTAGTGACCTGTTTAGAGAGGCTAAAACCTTAAAAAATTAAACCCAAAGTAATCCCTGTTTCCTGTAGATTTTAATTGATTTCAAGTTGACAGTTAAACAACTGTAGATTATAGTCTTCTATATACTTTTGCACTGACTAATCTCTGGCTGTCTGTCCTGGTCATTGAGTTCGGGTTCGGGTCTTCCCTAATCCAGATGTTTAGCTTTGCTAATTGGCAGAGCCAGCGGTGGAGGAGCACACTTTGACCTTTCGATTGATTGATTGATTAATCGATCCATTCGCTGCCTGCCTGGCTTTGCTGTTCGTCGTCGATTGATTGATTAGCAGGGGAGGCATCCCACCAAGTTCCATACGGGTTAAGGGCCACTTTCAATTACCAATTACGAAAGCGCGCTACTACCACAACTCCTGGAACGGCCTTTTGGCCTTTAACGCTCAATTGATTTGTTTGGTTAATGCGTTGGCCGATTACAGGTAAATTTCCGCCTTCCGACTGGGCAATCGCTGTGCAAACTTTTGTTTACAAACACACACATACACATACACACACACACACACACACTCACCTGCCCCACCCACCCAGGGGCAGCCAACATTCCCCCTCATTATGTTTGAAAACTTTTTAATAGCTCTTCGGCCCAAGCATTTTGCGGCATATGCCCCGGCAAGTATGCAAAATATTTTTAATTTTTTCCGCTGCTCTGCAATCTCTCTTCCTTTCCCCCAACCCCCAAAAAAAAATACCCCCACCAACACCCCTCGCAAGCGGAACCATTAAAAATGGCCGACAAGGCCTCGTCAATGGGACATTTGGGAGCAGGAGACAGGATCTTGCACTGAAAGAAAAAACTATTTAAGTAAAAAAAAAAAAGAAAACTATTATCTAAAAATTACAACCATAAAATATATTATTATTATATATTATAACTTTTATTTGTTTAAAAAATATGCATATTAAATTTTTAATTTTAAAAACTTTTATTTTTTATAATTTAAAAATTGGTATCAATTTTTTTTGGACAAAACAAATTTAAAAAAAATCATAACTCCAACCAGAGAGCATTGATTTTAATTCGGAAAGCGGTGTTATGCTAATTTTTATTGGTTTAACAAATCTGATTTCTTAATTTAACATTTTTAAAAATTAATTTTTTCCCCCAAATTTTTGACAATTTTGACGATGTAACACCCCTTATAAAATTTTGAAAAAATTAAACAAGAAAAATTTTAAGCAGACATGGCTAGATCAACTCGGCTGTTGATGCTGATTAAGAATATATATGATTTATAGGGTCGGAAATGACTCCTTCACCTCGTTTGACACTTCTGACTAAAATT